CTAGACGTAAGCTTTTCGTTTCATCGGCTTGATTTAAGAAATGTGGATGTAAACGTAAATATGCCCAAGTACGCAACAAAGTGTAAATTGAAAATTCTGTTTGCATTGCGTATAGATCAGGACTCGAAACAAGCTCCGTCATTAAATTAATGCTAATACTGCGTAAAAGTTTAAAATGTTTAGGATAGACACTTAGCATGTTCTTCTCTAGCCAATCGAATGCAGCCTTCTTAGCATTCAAACAACCATAAGCGCAACCAATATCATAATACTCCACAGCACTCTAAAAAAATTATATAAGTAAATAAAATATTTAATCAGAAAATCATTTATTTTTTACTTTTGCATTTATCGACTCCAACATAACTTCAGAACACTTTTCTATTATGCTTTCCAAATGAAATAACGTTGCTGTGGCCAATATTCCTACCACATTGTCTACTTCTATTTTAATATCGTCCGAGTAAAGTGAACCAAAAACCTCATCCAGTGCTAATGAAGAAAGGTTATTAAATATAAAATTAATTAATCTTTAAATTAAAAAATATTACCTGTTACAGTTATGCGTTTGTCTAAAATTTGAATGTTGACGAAATCCTGTGTGGACTCCATCCAAGATCCACTAAACATACTCTGGAAGTACGGACTTTGACTTAAATAAAGTTTATGCAGCCGCCACGTTCTCCCCAGAGCCATAACAGTAATGTCAGAATTTGCCTGTCCTTCAAACAAAGTTTTATAAATATACTTCGCAGTACTTAGCAGTTTCTTCCTGCAAATTTCAAAACAATTAAGACATTAAATATTAGTACATATTCCCAATACTCAAACAACTGAATTAACTCACTTTTTTGGCACTTCTAGCTCCAGATCTTTATCATCACTCCCGTCTGTTGGCTCCATAGGTCGCTTACGTTTCCGATCTAAAAACTTCGTTACACTCTCCTGCAGCGGCGTTGTTAGTTTAAAAGCCACGGTACCCATATTTTCGAAATAAGATTCTTCGAAATAGGCTGTAGTAATTGTCCACTTAACTTCCACTATTTGAAAAAATTTTTCTTGCTCCTTACTTGACTATCTACAATAACATAAATAATTCACTTTATAAACTGGCAATCAGTGGTGTTTCTTAATCTTATCAAGAAAAATATACATAAATTAGGTATATGGAAGATAAATTTATATTTCTATTTTAATCATTTTCATATTTTGATTTTTAACTCTATACCATTTAAACTATTTTTTTTTTAAGATAATGAAATACTTGTATTTAAATTTCTAGTATAAAAAAGTAGACCGGTAAAAATGGAGAAGCTGCTATAACTAAAGATAACTCTCCAGTGGTAGAGTAGAAAAACTTTACAGTTCACTATTTGTAAATTAAACTCTTGAGTTTAAAAAGTGATTGGGGCTATTCACAACAGCGGCAGGGGCGCTACTTCTAAAGTGTTACCAACACGGAATGCTGGGAATGTATGTGGTGACATCCATCCTTGATGAGTTATCACCCTCACCTTAAGATATTTTGGTGTATTAAACATAATGGATTCTTTTTAATTAAATGCTTTTCTTTGAATAGTTTTCAAAAATCACTCGTAAAATAAGTCTCTGTGTATGACACAGCATTAAGCAGTTCGGTTTACCTTGAAGAAATCATAATACAAGATCTGCGTTCTGTAGGGTACGGAACTGTAAAATTGCCCCTGCTTTTTCTTGCTTTTTCTTGTTTCAGAGAAATGTTAATACATCTCGGCAATTTTTAATGGAATCGGTCAGCATATCCTAGTTTAAAGTATACCCGCTTTTAATATTAGTAAAGGACGGTATGACGAAACACTTCATTGAAAAACTGCAGAGCTGTATAATCATTTTACGAAAGCAAGAAAAAGCAGTAGCAATTTTAAAGTTCTTAAAAAATTGTTAGTAGTATGAGCCCTAACTACTACTCCATATTGTATATGGATTTGTAATATTTTTTATTTACCGGAGATGGATGGATTCAATTATCATCAGTTGAATTCTATTGATGTAGCCAAAATTCTGAACCGAAAATAAAAATAAATTTTATTTTCTACTATAGTACAATTATATAATAGCTGACAACCGTAAAGATCAACGACAATAACATCCAGAGTACCACAAAATTCCACCCCATTAAGTTACTGAATATGGTTGTCATCTGCCTGGGATATTACTTTATTGTACAAGATAAAACGTATACGATAAACGATAAAATTAGTGTAACTTTTAAGTTGTAACGTAGACTATAGTAGATTATGTTTGGAACATGTCGACGAATACTTTTTTAGGGAAGTACGGCAATTAGTTATGTAAATAAGTTGAAGGCAAACGAAAGTCCTTTTTTAGCAATGATCTATTTATTTCGTCTATTTTTATTATACTATATTTTTCAATAAACTCAACCTACCAGTTCCCACAGTATTCGAAGCACTATTTTAATAATAAAAACTATGCACTTGACTACACCAAAAAGGTAATCTGCATAAGCAATCCATCTATTATTGAATACGTAAACAAACGAATATTGCATTCGGGTGATGTCATCCGTAAACATTAGAGACTGTTTCTACTTTATATATTGCACATTTTAAAGTTTTTACGAAAAAAAAACAGAAATAAAACGAACTCTATATATCCGACATTTTGGAACAAATAGTTACATGCACATGCTTTGCATAAAATTAATAAAATAATTGCGTTAAACATTTTGCAATTTGTAAATTAAAATTGCAAATTAAAATCAATTCGAAATGTTGAACTGCGAGTTGGGAATAAAAATAGGTTGCAATACTGACCTGGCATATCTGTAATAGCCAATGAGTCACGCCACCATTGCAATCTGCAACGCAGCTCTATAAAAATCGAAACGTCATCGGCATACGTTCTAAGTAGCAAAAATATTTGGAATGGGTAGGGCAAATCAGTTAACTACTTTGCGTTTCAAATGTCTGGATGAGATAAGAAGTTTATTTGGCATTAAAAAAATGATTATTGAAATATTGATAAGAAGCCGAGAATTTATATAAGTAAATCATTATGCGAGAACTATAAATCTTCCACTTATACAAAAGATAAGAAACACAGAATACTTCCACATACAGACTATTTATAGTAACTTCAGCGAACTGAAGTTTTGAAAACAGAGAAGAGTTGAATTTTGAGTGTATATTGGAAGCTATCGGGGGAATGTGTGATCATTTATATCAGTGTATATGCATGCGTGATATTTCATATAATGACACAGTTTGAAGCCAGGGTCTTTGACGAAATAAAAAAAGTTTTTAAAAGAGGCATTTTAACAGTATATTTAGAATCTCTACAATATGTTGGTTTAAAGTAATCTGGTAAAAATCAACTATCACGATAACCGTTTAAACAACAAGTAATATCTAATATGTATATATATTTTATATAAATATTTTTGATACAAACTCAATCTTAGCACAAAACCCTGATTCTCCCTTTAGTGCAACCAGTTAAGATATTATTTTGTACATCCAATTAGAAATGCAGTTATCGTAATTTAACCAAATGATTATGTCTTTGCATAAAATCGAACAAGATAAATTTGCATTGCCGAGAGGTTTTCTAGATCCATATCTAGAAATGTACGCACTCTCTTATGGTTCGATCTGAACTTTCCATTTTAAGGGCCAAAACTGACAAATGAACCCATTTACTTAAACAAAATAATGCCAGCATTCATATAAACATCTATAAGGTATTAGGAAGAGATAACGATCTGCAATATAAGACTTTAGCTGCGACAATAATCTATATTATTATTATACTAACAATCTATATTCCTAGTAATTTAATCATTAGGGTCGACAGGAGTCTATCAGCTAATAGACCCCTTGATTCATCCTGTTTCATTCAATACATTCGGTTAATTTCGCAAATACCTAATGATACACATTTGTGGCGCTTCTTCCAATACATTTTATTAAATATATAAAAATAAAATGGAATTGAATTATATATAAATAAACTACGATATAAATAACACTAGATTATATACAACATTATATTGAGTTGCAACTAATTATACGCTAAAAAGTTCTCTTTAGCTATAAGTTAGCTAATCTCATCATCATCAAAACATCATCTTTCTTTATAACCTTTTGATATATGCATCAGCTAATTAAGTTTGTAATTTTAAGTTTTAAGTTCAATTTATTGATTTATTTTTAGCTTTTTAAAAAAATATCTTGAATGTGAAAAAAGTTTACTTCCCCTAGCTGCGATATCGTACAAGAATGCAACGCCGAAATGTTGACCCAGTTTACGACATCGCTTTGAGATACTAATTTGGGTCACCGTAATTAATAGATTCTCGACATGCTAGAAGCTTTTAACTTGGAAAAATATACAGGAAACGCCAAATAATTAATTCAGTTTTTATATAAAAAAAAATAAAATTATGTGTAACGCATTTACAGAATATCTTTAAGAATTACACAAACTGTAAATGGAAAAAGGCAAGGTCAGATGCGTATCATAAAAATGAGGTGGAATCGTTTACATTGCGAAAGAAAAATATCGATTTGTTTACATAAATTTTATGTAAAAATAAAAGATATGTATACAAAAGTTTGTAACTGATTGAAACGAAACCAAAAAAAAATATTTTTGAAACATTGGTCTACCACATTGCTTTCGGGTGTGGGGCGAGACAGTGGTTCACCTGACATTTCAATGTTTGCAGACAATTGTAAAGGGCAAAAGGAGATGATACCATCGTAACGAAGGAATACAGTTTTGTTTATTGTGTCGGTAATAGTACAATAGATAATATGGAACCATTTTAGACTTAGCTAAATCTGATAAATTAAGATAGAAGACAAAATAAGTTAAATACATAAGTTTTGTTATCAATGATTTAATGTGGCGTTTGCGGATATAAAATACTCTGGATATTCAATTTCCATTAATACTCATCATAAATGCTGCCTTGATGATTCTATTTGAACCCTGGATCCAATTCTTTGGTATTTACCTTCAAATGTTGCTATGCCTGACTTCAGATGCAAAGTTACTTATCTCTAGTACTTACTGTTTCTTAAATCACTTAAATAATAGTTATTACTCTGTTTTCTCTCTAGTTTTCGGATTTCAATCTGTCTCCTTTCTTGTGTAGAAGTATTATCGCACCGATATTAAAAATCTATCTGAAGACTTTCTCCAATTCGTACATACAAACTATGAGTTAGCACATGATTTCATATTATATGTAGGCAAAAAGTATAAATATATAAAAAAAATTATTAAATGCTAAAGGTCCAATGACAGTCTTGTTTAACTTTATAAGATATTTTTACAACGAAGAGAGACATTTTTTTAATCAATAGAAAAAACTTTAAAATTAAAATAGTAAATAAAATTTCGAAAATTGAAATTATTTTATAAATTTTTTTTATTTTTTTAAATTTTATAGGGCTTCGTGTGGGTCAGATTTTGTAGGCGTCACAGTTACAAAAGCATTGAGAAGAATTGATTGAACCTAAACACACCCACTCCTTGTCTTTCTGTTTGAAGTAGTGCTGCAATAAATTAAGCAATGCAAGTCAATTATGCATTTTTTCTGTGGAAATCACAAACGCCAAAGTAAATTTTATACATAATAGTATAGCTTGTATTTATTAACAAATAATTATCATTTATTAAAATGAAATTATTAAATCCATAATAATTAATAATTAACCTATTTGTATATATTATATCGAGCTATATTTCATTTCGCTTTATGTGGATTATATGTTATATAATTAGATTTTATTCAGTTCTCATAGTAGAAAAATGTATCAAAATTGATCAAAATCAATCAAAATTGTAAATCATTCTATGCTTTATAAACATTTTAAATTTTTATCTTCTACTATCACTACTATCCGATACATCCATTTCAATCATCCATAGTCAAGCTGTCATCAGATCACTGATAGACACCTCAGCCACATCAAAAATAACTCAAAACTGCGTGCTTCTTTTAATAACCTAGCTAGGCTTGTTAGGGTTAAACTCATTTGGGTTCCTGGTCACAGGGATATCTCGGATAATTGCAGGGCAGATGAGTTTGCCAAGGCAGGCGCTCTTCTCCCTAAAATTCACTTCTCAGATATAGGCTATAGTTAAACTGGCAATTAAACAAAAATA